ATGTCACTAAAAGGGAGTGGGTCCTGGGTTTTGGTTCCTGCTCTGAATGGTGCTTCAGTAGTTTGACCACTTACAATTCAGTGTTTGGCCATTTGCCATGGTTTAGAAGCTTTGTTTCTTTGCAAACAAACAGACATTTGAGTCACAATATCATCATTGTTTCCTCCTTGTTTGTTCCCATTTGAATAAGTCAAATGCTTACCTACAAGAAGGCAAAAATTATGAGTTTAATTACTGATATAACTACCAAGGATGAAATTATTAAAAGGTTTTTGAATCAACCCCTTGGTCAATATAGTTATAATTCATTATGTATATAAAACCAAATAAATTACTACTTTTCCCATATTTAAATTGTTGTTTAAATATCTTAAATTTAAAAGAAGAAAAAAAGAGAAAATAACCCTAAAGCTAATCATTGAAGCAATGATTGCTTTAATTCCAAATCCAGACTAAAGAGAGTACTCTTCTGTGTCATCTACCACCCTATTTCTCTTGCTAATTATGATTTCATGCTATTAGTCTTAGCCCCCATGAATCAAACTTGTAATTTGGCCATATTATTTCCCTTTCTTAGGTCAGATTTATTAAGCTTAAATACAGATTCTGTACTGATACCTTAGCTATATTATTCATTTAGCAAAGAGATGTCTCTTCCCTGGAGCTGAGCTTTACATTAATCTTGGAAAAGCATTTGCTGAAGTTGAATGGGACTACTTATTTTATACCCTTCAATGGTTTGGTTTTGTTCCCCAGTTTATTAAACTAATATCCATTCATTACAGAAACCCAGCTGCAAGAATGTGCTAACTCCTTAGATCCACAGAGATATAAGATCTTACTGATTATTTTCCTCTCATTTATTTTTAAAGCATTAGAACATCTTGACAGAACTCTTCAATGCAATATAAGCATTAAAGGTTTTCATGCTGAACATCACAGGTCTAGTTCGACTCTCACCTATACTCATATTTTCAAATAGAATTTAAAGTTACATTATTTTCAGATGACCTGCTTCGTCATTGATCCCTCTTGTCTACTAAACATACATTTGAGCTTATAAAAATATTCTGCTAAGAAAAAATATAATTCTTCCTTTAAAATATAGATATTCAGATCTCATTTACTTTTCCTTTTTTGCATTAAAGCAGAACTGGAAAAGCATTACCTACCTTGGGAAGAAGAATCTCTCTGGTTAGCTTTAATCTTTTCTAGTTGGATAGATCAAGAGTCCATTAAAATGCTTATAGTTTTACTATTTATATAGTGTAATCATTTTAATGATTGTTGATACATGTGGGGTCAAATTTTGTTCCAGAGATGTAAATACCAAGTAACTAATGACTAGAAATATCTGGATTATTCCTTCATGAAAATAGGAGAAAATTTGGCCCAAGGCTACAACAAATTAGGCGACTGTGGTTTTGACACCTACACAGTCAGATGGGTCACAAACTGGCTGGAGGGCCCAGAGAGTTGTGGTGGATGGGTCATTTTTGACCTGGAGGGATATGGGCAGTGGGGTTCCCCAGGGCTCGGTCCTCAGGCCCGCACTGTTCAACATCTTCATAAGTGAATTGGACGAGGGGGTGAAAAGCACCTTGTTCAAATTCGTGGATGACACTAAGATGTGGGGAGAAGTGGGCATGCTAAAAGAGAGGGATAGGCTGCAACTAGACCTAGACAGGTTATAGAGGTGGGCAGATGAGAATAGGATGGGTTTCAACACGGACAAGTGCAAGGTACTACACCTGGGGAGGAAGAACCAGCAGCATACCTACAGGCTGGGAAACTCCCTTCTCATCAACACAGAGACAAAAAGGGATCTTGGAGTCACTATTGATTCCAAGATGAACAAGGGCTGCCAATGTGGGGAAGTGGTCAGGAAGGCTAACCGCACCTTGTCACGCATCCATAGATGCATCATGAGCAGGTCCAAGGAGGTGATCCTCCCCCTCTATGCAACATTGGTGAGGCCACAGTTGGAGTATTGCATCCAGTTCTGGGCGCAGCACTTCAGGAAGGATATAGACAACATCGAGAGGGTCCAGAGGAGGGTCACTCACATGATCAGGGGGCAGCAGGGTAGTTCTATGAGGACAGGCTATGGGACCTGAACCTGTTCAGCCTCCACAAGAGAAGACTGAGAGGGGAACTGACTTGGTGGCCATCTACAAACTGGTCAAGGGGGGCCAGCAGGCAATGGGAGAGTCCCTGTTCCCCCAAGCACTACCGGGAGTAACAAGGAATAATGGCCATAAGTTGACTGAGAGTAGGTTCAGGCTAGACATCAGGAAGCACTACTTCACATTCAGGGCGGCCAGGAGATAGAACCAACTTCCAAGGGAAGTGGTGCTTGCTCCTACCCTGGGGATCTTTAAAAGGAGGCTAGACAATCACCTAGCTGGGGTCATTTGACCTCAGCATTCTTTGCTGCCCATGGCAAGGGGTCGGACTTGATGATCTGATTACGTCCCTTCTGACCCTACCAACTATGAAATGTTGCTATTTTATCTGCCTGTAACCTTGCAGAATTTTATAAGCCTAATGTTGGACAAAATAGGCCAACGATTGAATTCTATAAAGCAAAATATAAACTATAACACATAAGAAACTCTAGGCACCAATCCCTCAAGGAATCTAAACACAACCTTATTATTTATGCATCTAGCCATATTCATTCCATTGTCTCAAGATACATTATGTGCCATTATCCTAGAAATCACAGAGAAAGATATAGGTTTAGAAAGATCACACAACAGATCAGAACAGAAATGTCCTCACTTAATTGGGGCAGGCTAGTAGAGTAGGATTTGTAACTAGTAGGAGTTGCTACTAGTTTTGTAACTAGTAGGAGTTGTGTGCACTAGGAGCTTGGAATATAGATGAATATTGTCCATCAATTTTAATTGAGACTTTTACTTTTGCTTTTCTCAGACTTTTCTCTGACAAATCTCCTGCTCTGAATGAAATTTTTATTACCGAATTAAAGCTTAAATAGTGAGCAAAGAGGAGGGGGGGGTGGAATATTTTGATTGTTTGGGTAAAGAGGGAGTCTCAGGTCAGGTCTTTGTATTTAATTCTACTCCTCCCTAACCTGGGTTTTCCTTTTATCCATTTACCTGTTTCCCTTGGGAAGAAAACAGTCCAGCCTACCTCTTGTTAGAAGGGACTATTAGGCATGCAACAATGGAATTTTGGGGGCAAATAAATAAATACAGGCCCCCCTGAGCCAGAGCATTCTTCATGGTCAAATAGATGGCCAGCTTAGCTAGAGCAAGGGAGAGGTTGACCAGGAGGTCCCAGGACTTGGTGGGACCATGGATGTAAAAAGAAAAAGGTGTGGGGAGTATTGCGGTGAGACCCTCAGCAGTTGGCAATGAAAGGAATTCAGGAGGCGATGAAGAAGCTGCAACCTGATGCACTCAAAATAGGAATACACCAGGGTCTTCCTCTCCTGGCAGAAGGGGCAGGTGTTGGTGGGCATCCATGAAATGCACCAGACACATGGCTATGTTGGTGGCTTTGTGTAGGAACCACCATGTGAGGTCCCCAAACAAAACAGTCACATCTCTTTCTGAGATAGGGGCACCCTGTAGCTAACTCCAGTTGAGACTCACAGAGATTTTGTTCACAGTAGGTCATGTTTTCTCCTATTTTTTTCTAAAACCTTGCTACCCTTTTTGGGCATGATCTGCAAATGAACACCAAATAATAAACAGTTGTTTTCTAACTTTTATTGTTTTCTTTCCCTGCTTGTGTTTTACGTTAAAAAAACTACAGAGATTCGAAAATTGAAATATTGTTGGCTGCTTATAGAGGTTAAAAATATCAAGAGTGCGACTTTTCCATGAACTCCTGCATCAAGTTCAGTGCATGCCCAGAAGAGGTATTATGTTAGTTGGACCTGGCTTGCCCCGTGTCTGTATAGGCTGGGCACTTTAGTGGGGCTTTTGTGGGGCTTTTATCTAAAAGCTGATTGAATCAGTTTTAGCTAAAAGTGCCAAGAAGCCCCTCTGAAGTGCCCAATCTATACAGATGCTGAGAAGCTGGGTTGAAGTAACGCACTGCTGCTTCCAGTAAAGGACTTTTTTTTAACATCTGCCAGCAGCCTATGTGATTCAGGGCTTGATTCAACAGGGTAATTAAGTACATACCTAATTTAGGCATGTGAATAGTCTTATTGACTTCACCTGAAGAACTCTGTTGCTTAAAGGCACTTGTTAGATATCTAGCTGAATCAGAGATGCAGTGATCAGATGATCTGCTGATTTGTGTGTTTTTGCATTCAGAAAGTATTCTTGTTTCAGCTATTTATCAATAGATGTCTTACACGGTCTTCATTACTTCCTAATTGCCAAACCTCTTAGCTTTCCTTGCTACATTCAGATTTTAAAAAGCAGCTCAGCCTCTCAAGCATTTAAGAGTCCTCATTGATCTCATCCTCTCCTCATTTATTAATTGACCTATTCTTACCCAAGTATTTTTTCCTACTGACTTGTATGTTATAACCCATCTTATTCCCTGTAACATCCCTGGCTACATTAATTCATTAAGCAATTTTGCTACCCATTGCAAATGCCCCACTCCAGACTTAACTTACTTCTTTCAAGATTGTTTCCCTTTCTCTAGCTCCTTTCCCTTTTCTTTTACCCTCAAATCCTTAATCACTGCTTCCTGAATCCTTCTTAAAAGCCAGATTCACAAGCATGAAGTACAAGGCAGTTTAAACTGAATGGAGAAAGGCAATCTTTAGGTAACCAAGAGAGGTGTTACACAGGCTTCAGGGGATAAAAGAAGGGCACATTCCAGCATCTCTCCCAACCATACAGCTGGTCCAGTAAAAGATATCATCAAGAAAGTCTTTGGCTTGTGCATTTCCTGTAACCATCAAGGCAACAACAACACTCCAACCCTACTTCAGATCACCCTGTTTTTTAGGGCTTTCTACTGGGTAAAGGGGGATCCAGAGAAGGTGTGGCAACATGATTGCATCTTACTTTGGCTGTATTGTACATGCAGTCTTAATGCAGGATCTGGCAAGAACCTCTACTTTCACACAGCTCCAGAGTCCAGAGGGTGAGTGCTGGCACCACCACTCATCTCTAACTTTCCTCTGCTTCTGAATTCAGTGGGGAAGGGGAGGGTGTGAAAAGGTTAACAGCATCATTGTTTACTCCTGGAACTCTGCAGCTGCATGAAAACTGCCCCCAGCCATACTCTGCCCCATTAAATTGGTGAGTTCTGGTGGGAGCCTGTGCTGACTAGGTAGTTAGGTCAGAGCTTCCTAAACATGTGTGCCCCATTCCTATATCAATGACTGCTATGGGATGGGAAGGAGCACCCACTTATCCTCACTAAATCCCACTGAATCAGCTACCTCCTCACTGATGTGTCCCTACTCCTGCTCTTTCCTGGGCCAGATCTTAATACTCTGTCTGGTGTAGGCAGTTTTCGTTTCCCACAGAGTATAGGTTGCAGGTGTCTTATGAATCATAAGCAGGCATCCTGGTTTTCTCTGCTAAAAAAAAATCCCCATTTTTCAGATATAAAAAACCCCCCACCCCAAATCCACATTTTTCCATGTTTAAAATGAAACACCTATTAATATATATATATATATATATATATATTATATTATATATATAGTGATGAGCTTAGAGTTTATTTTAATTGGTGAAACTCCATTTCATTTTAATCACCAATTGAACTCTAAGCTCATCACTATATACTAAGTATATCTATATAGTGGTGTTTCATTTTAAAAATGGGAAAATGTGGATTTGGGGTATTTTTTTTAATATCTGAAAAATGGGGATTTTTTTTAGCAGAGAAAACTGGGATCCCTGATCATAAATTATGATGCTTCAATGCCCATCTTCTCACCTCCCATCCTTGGTTGCCTTACTGTTTTCTGTGTATTAGGTTGAAGATACACATTACACAGACCATACTAAATCTGGAATGTTAAGCATTGTGTAACAGGAAGCTAGAGACTCCCCTTATGGAGAATAGAAAAACTCATCAGAATGGTCACTGTTTAGGCAAACAAGCAGCCCAGATAAGGATTGACGCCTGTAATTTAGGCAGTTTTAGGAGAGTGAGACAGTGCATTAACTCAAAAAGGACAAACACCCAGGGGCTGATGACTCACCTGGCACAAATGGCATAACTGATGGGGCTGGATAAGAGCATGCTCCAAGGCTGGGGGGTTGTTGGAGTGGAGCTCTGCTGCAAAGCAGTAGAATGGAAAAACTGCAGGGAGCCAAGAATTGCCCAGGGCCTAGACAGGGGTGGGAACCCTCAGGAATAAGGGTGAGAAGACAGGGTTGGGAACTACCCTGAGGGAGATGTGTTTGTTCAGAGCAGGGAGGATTTCATTTACTTAAAGTGACAGATCACACCTTTTGTTTGCCTATCTGCTTGATCAGGGCTCCATGTGTTAAAGCGACAGTGTACCTTTCTTTTATAACAATGTCTTACCCAGTGTAGGGAGGGTTGAGTTAAGGAGCTATCCTGTTTTTAAGTTGTAGTTGATTATAACAGATGGTTTGGGTTGGGACTGTCAGGGGAAAAGAAGTTCCTAGCATTGTCTGAGCAGTGATCCCAGTGCCCTGAGCATGCCAGAGACAGTGCTCTAAGAGAGGGGAAGATAGGGCCAGGGGACCTAGTGCCCATAACAGAGTGAAGGTAGCCAACATAGGTGAGACAGATACTAGAATCCAGAAGCCAGGCCTAGCACAGTGGTCCTGGGCTATAAGACCCAGTGACAGAAAAGGGGCAAAGGCCGGGAAGGTGGAGAACCCAAAAAGGGAGAGTGATTGAACAGTAATATCTGTGAGATATTGCTGTGACTGTATGGATGGTTGGAGTGCTTAAGGCAAGTAGGGTCTGAGGGGTGAGTACTCAGAAAGAGAGGAAAAGAAGGCACCGCTGAGGGAAGCCTCCCCTTTAAAATTTTCACAACAAGACATAGCAGACAAGGAACCATGGCAGACAAGAAACCAGGGTGGGATCCTGGGAGGTGAGGACAAGAGCTAGGCAGGGTCAAGGTGACCATGAGTGGGTGTTACATTTACCCCAGGACCCACTCCTGCTACAAGCTGTCAAAGTTAAAACGTGCTGTGAAGCTTAACACCACTTCTTGCCTGCACAGATCTGACTTGCTACTATACGGCTGGTGACCTTAGGATATCCCGGCTTGGTCCCTGTCTGTGGGGGAGGGAGGAAACAGGACTCAAAGCAATGCATCCTGGGATGCTGGAGTTTTCTTAGTTTATCCTAACACAAGCTAGGTAACACAGCCTGGAGTCAATCCTCTCCTGAAGTGCCATAACTTTGAGATGCTCAGAATATACTTAGCACAAGTTAATGAGTTTTAACATGTGGATACTCAGAGCACCTATACATGTGCCTGAAACCTGCTCCAATGCATTCTGATTAGAATGTGTTAGAGCAGCCTTGATTAATCGAGCGTGCTAATTAGTATGCTCCAGCAGCCTCTGCATCATGTGTATTTAGTATCCCTGTGCTTCAAAATGGAAATGGGGGTGCTTTAACTAAAGCTCATCAAATGAGCTTTAGTTAAAGCACCCCTGCTACCATTTTGAAGTGTGGGATACCCCACCCTAGAGCACCTGTAAAGATGCCCTCATTTTAAGTCGCTTAATATGGTCTAAATGTGACATAGCTTTACCTTTACAGCCCTGAATCTGTGTTACAAACCAAGCATATGTGCAAAAGCTTGTTTCCTCTCCTGATTCCTCTCCTTCATCTCTACTTTCACCTCTCACTCTCACAGGAACATTTTTCCCAGAGATTATCTAATAGGTCACAGCCCTGATG